CTGAGCCCTGGGGAACACCACCTGTGACCAGCTGCCAACTGGACTTCACTCCATTCACCACAACTCTGGGCTCAGCCACCCAGCCAGTTTTTTACCTAGCAGAGAGTACACCTGCCTAGGCCATGAGCTGCCAGCTTCCTTAGGAGAATGCTGTGGGAGACGGTGTTATTTCAGGCTGTGCATGCCAAGTGGATCAGAGGACTCTGGCCAGTTCTCTGGATCTCAGTGGGGCTTGACAGGGGCTAGGGAGGGGCTTGACTTCTTGCAGTTCATGGTGGGACAGTTCTGGTGGGTGTCAAAATTGTTGGTTTTAAATGAGCAACCCACGAAGTTTAGAGACTTCCAAGGTCAATCTGCCATGAGGTGGGAGTTTGGGGGTTTAGATCTCTACTCTAGACAAATGAGTTTTGCCTAAGTGCGGCCTACACCTTGGTTTTGATCAGTTTTACTTGCTTTGTAGGGCATTATTTCTTACACCCTCAACATATTCATCAGCTTCATTATTTTCAGAACAAACTACAATGCAGTCTGAAAGACTGTGTCTGCCTATTTCCCCCCACATATTAGCATCAAAAGAAGAATGTTGCTTTCGAAAATGATCTAGTATTAAAAAAAATCATATGCTCCATTCCATGTTAGCATGACAGAACAGATCACTGAGTATTTGGTTCAAGGCCGTAACAACAAAGAGATCACACAACACATTGATTACTCGAAACTGTAATTCATAGAAGACTAGATGCTTTTTCCCAACTCAGCAAAATCAGGCAATCCCTTTCTCTGAAAAGTAAATCCTGGGGGAAGGACATGGACTAATTAAGGATGCATCAAGGTTACATGCTTCAAGGCAGCTGGGCTTTCTGACTGCTCCATTTCTACCATATGTTGTGAAATCTTCTCAAAACACTGCAGCAGTTCAGATGCCTTAGCCTATTCAGCTGTCACAAAGAGAAGAGGCTCTGTTGGAAACAATCACCATCAAGGAATATTTTATCTTTCACAACTGCTGTGAATCTGTAACTATACTGGCCGTTTTATTACTTGATGCAATAGCAAGTAATTCCAATGAAAATTCTGTTTTCTTCTGAAATTGATCAAAAGAGTGGGCTTTATTTTCTGCTTCCATGCACTTTGTATAGCTACTTGCTCCAGTGCAAAAGAGTCTACTCTCCAGTTTTGGTGACATCTTTGCACAGGTATAAGTGACTACCCTGAGACTGGGGTATTTTTATTGGTTTTGCCATCACCATGATGTTCACTACTTTTCTTCTTTTCACACACAGGTGTGTCACACCTTCTAACTGATAATGAAATTACACACAGTTATACTATTTTATATAATTACATTGATAGTAATTACGAAGCCTAATAATATAATGACAATAAAAGATGATATTTTATTGCATGAGGGTGCTAAGTACGATTGTAAACAAAGGGAATAATTCCTGTATAAGCTATGTCAACTGATCATTGAGAACAGGTATAGCAAATAACAGAAAAAGGAAGATTCTCACTTCGGCAGAAACCAATCATTTAAACTTTCTGTACAGTAACTAGGGAATGTTGGCTCTGTTTACCCCCAATTTTATTATTATATGTATGTCCTGCTATGTAATTGGAAGACATATCAAAATGGTTTTTATTTCATTTAATTCAGAATTTTCTGCTTTATGTCAGCTTGTGTTCCAAAATGAACGGCCTTGAAATGTTGTTTGCGTGTGAGTTATTGCATGATGTTGTAAACAGCGTAGTATGTCAGCTGAGCCAGACTGCTGAAAATGTATAGCTCAATAATTTGGTTTATTTTTAGGTCTTATATTGCCCTTCTCCGTCCTCGATGCTGCTAGTTGTCTTTTAGCCTGAAAAACTGAAGGTTAGTTTGAAGTCATGATCATATACTAGTTCTTTTTATATCAATAGCTGAGACTGGCCTTGGGGATATTGTTACTTATTTCTTAATTTTTTGGGGCTGACAGAATAGAGTCTGGCCAGATTACAAAAACATGCAGTGAAACTACAAGGTCTATCACTTCATACGTGACCCCCCCCTTACTGAGAGCTCCACTTTCAGAAGAGCTGTGGGTGTTCAGCATGTCTGCAAATCAGATTACAATCTTCCAATCAACCATGTAGCCCATCAAGGTATATATTTATCATTTTTATTTATGTTTTATATAATTTTACTTCTATTTTATAACTTTTCTGCCCAAAACCAAAACAGAAGCGTACCAGAGATGGAAAAGGAGATGAATACCCATTGAGAACTACAAGGGTATTGCCAGGGTGTGCAGAGATGCAGTTGGAAAAGCAAAAGCTCAGCTTGAATTGAAATTAGCCAGAGACATCAAAAACTACAAGAAAGGGATCTTCAGGTATGTAAACAACAAGCAGAAACAGAAGGAAAATATTGGCCTGTTGTTAAGCAGGAGAGGTGAATTAGTCACCAACGATGCTGAAAAAGCAGACGTTCTCAACACGTTTTTCACCTCTGTCTTTAGCAGCACTGTTGGGCCCCAGGCCCTGGGAACAAAAGTCCAGGTTGATGCAAAAACAAACCAGCTGTAACTGAAGGAAGAGTTAGTATGTGAACTATTACAGGAGCTTGACCCCTACAAATTAATGGGTCCTGATAATATCCACCCGAGAGTGTTAAGAGAGCTGGCTGACATTGTTGCAAGGCCGCTCTCCATAATCTTTGAGAAGTCATGGAGATCAGGGCATGTCCCAGAAGATGGAAAGAAGGATAATGTCACCCCCATCTACAAGAAGGGCTTAAAGGAGGATCCAGGAAATTATAGGCTCATCAGTCTTACTTCAGTCCGTGGGAAAGTTATGGAACGAATCCTCATGGGGGCTATCACAAGTAAATGAAGCACATGATTGGGAAAAGCCAGCACAGATTCACCAAGGGAAAATTGTGATTAACGAACCTGATCGCCTTCTATGACAAAGTAACCTGCTCGGTTGATGTGGGGTGAGTGGTGAACATTGGCTACCTGGATTTCTCCAAGGCTTTTGTTTCCCACAGCCTCCTCCTAGAGAAACTGATGTGTTACGGTCTAGAGAAGTAGTCTGTACAGTGGGTGGGGAACTGGCTGACAGGATGCGCCATAGGGTGCTGGTAAATAGCTCCTTTTCAAACTGGCAACCTGTCACAAGTGGGGTCCCCCAGGGATCGATATTGGGCCCAATGCTGTTTAATATGTTCTTCAATGATCTGGATGATGGGATCAGGTGTACCCTGTTGAAGTTTGCTCATGATACCAAACTGAGTGGGGAAGTGGACGCTTCGGAAGGGAGAGCCACCCTGCAGGAAGAGTTGGATAGGCTGGAAGAGTTGGCTAACAAGAACCTTACGAAGTTCAACAAAGGCTTGCACCTGGGAAAACACAATCAAGGAGTGCAGCACAGCCTGGGATCTACCCAGCTGGGAAGCAGCTCTGTGGAAAGGGACCTGTGGATTCTGGTGGAGAACAAGCTCAATATGAGTGAACAGTGTGCTGCTGCAGCACAGAAAGCCAACAGGATGCTGGGTTGCATCAACAAGGGCATCGCCAGCAGAGATAAAGAAGTCATTATCCCACTCTACCCAGCGCTTGTCAGGCCACACCTGGAATGCTGTGTTCAGTTTTGGTCCCTGCTATACAAAAAAGATGTGAACAGGCTGGAGAGGGTCCAGAGAAGGGCCACAAAGATGATCCAAGGACTGGGAAGCCTGCCCTATGAGGAAAGGCTGAGAACTGGGTTTCTCCAGCCTTGAGAAAAGAAGGCTTAGGGGAGACCTTAATCACCACGTTCCAGTATTTCAAGGGTGGCTACAAAGAAGATGGAGACTCCCTTTTTACAACCACCATGCCCACTAAACTGTGTCCCCAAGTGCCACGTCTACATGTTTTTTGAACACCTCCAGGGATGGTGACTCCACCACCTCTCTGGGCAGCCTGTTCCAATGCTTGGCTACTCTTTCTGTGAAGAAATTTCCAGCCTGGTATTCTATGATTCTGTGATTTGATCAGCCATATAACCAGTTTGGGTATAATAGGTGGGTGGGTGATGAAACTGTTTTGAAAAGTATTATTTACAAAAAGTTTAAAGATCATAGAGTTTTACCTTCCTGTAAGTGAGTTACTGAGACACATTATAAACAACAGATACATATTGGGTCTTTCAACCACATGCTATATCTCAACAGACTGATGAATTTCAAGGGGATCAGTAATCTCTGAACATTAATGATCAGGGCCCACAAAACAGTTTGTCTTAAACAACACAATAAAGAGATCAGTAATTTATAAGTTCATTAACTGGGCCAGCCATTGTTTGTTGTCAGTGTTAATCTATCAGTATTTAGGAATTCTCTCTTTTTTTTGAAAATAAGCATACGTACTGACTATTCTAATCTTCATGCTGCTCTGGGTCTGTTCACAACAGAGTTCACAGCTTGGGAGCCATACATCAGTGGGAACTGGATGTGTAAGAAGATTTAAAATAAATCAGTATTTAAACAAAAGATAAAATCACTTAATGTTGTGCCTCCACACTGTAATTTTAAGGCCAGAAGTCCCCTTTATAAATTAATCAAAAATGTTAAGGGACAGATGTCAAATTTTTGCCCCACTGCTTTCTTTAATAAAAGTCTACTTTTTGGGCCTCTGGGAAGACTTGTGTCTTTCTAACACTCAGTGTCAGGACCCCAACTGAACCTGTCAATGCACAAGAGTGCAGAAATTGGACCATCCCCCTGAACAGACAGTCAAAAAAAATGAATAATGAAAAAAAGTAAGCTGAGGCTCTTCTAGAAGAGAGTCTAACTTAGCACCTCTGGAAATTATAAGTTGAAACATTAAAAAAACCCCAAACCTTTTAGTAAAGTGGAATGGAAACATAAATTTAATTTTAGTGACAAATATCTACATTGGGATAAGACAATGCCAATTTTTCAATAAGGGCTATCTGGCAGCTGCTACTGGGCTATTCCTCTCAGTAAAAGTCAATGTTATGCAGAAACAGGCATCCAGAAGATGTTATGCCACTCTGCATTACACAATGAGTTTTGGTCAGTGAAGACCCACGTGAAAGGCCAAGAGATAGGCATATCTACATATTCAGGACGATCATATGTGCAACACTTCACTGCAAGCTATATGTTAAGGCAATATTCATCTCTACATAATGCCCTGAACACTCCTGTTAACTAGTAAGACAATATTTCAAGGGTCTTTGCAGTAGAATTTATAACCTAGGTCTTTTTGAAGATATTTATTTATTTGTATTACTTAAAGGGTACAATGCTGAGGATTTTGTTTATTTATTTGTTTGTTTATTTATTTATTAAATTCTGAAGTGAAATGTTATTTTTCTCCACCTGCATTTCAAAGTTCATATTTTTCACTCTAAGTATCAACCACTGTCCCACAACATCTTCTGTTCCTTCTGAAATTATTTTCTAAACTTTTTTCTCCCATCTGCTCCAAATTTATTCCACTAAAATCTTACTGCTGAAGCATCTCACTCCTCTTTAAATGCTTTCTGAAAGTGTATCACTTCCTCTAAACACAATGGCCATGACTATTTATTTATTTTATTCATTATTCTTCCTCTACCATGTGAAGGTAGCAATGTGCCATCCCATCCTTTTTCACTGTCTTCACTACCTGAATTACTTCTCCAGCTTGTGGATACGATAGAAGTCATACAGCTGCTATCTCTGGAAAGAAGAACTTGTTCTTTTATCCTGTGATGGTGATACTTGGTTTCATATGCATGAGAGAGATGCATGAGAGTTGCACGAGAGAATCCAGAGTGCAGTGATCCAGCTGTGCGGCTCACTGATACCTTAGTGTCATGCATACCAGAGTACATGTCTCTACATTTTGAGTTGCACAGTGAGAGGAGCCACAGCAGTGGAAATGTCAGGTTATAGCAGCAGGACCAAATTTCTCAGCAAAGCTGAGGAAAGGAAAGGGAGATACATACACAATGAGGAGTACAAAGAAAGAAAGGGATGGATCTTTGAATGGTGCAATATGTCACTAGAAGTGGCCTTCCATGTCACCAATTTCTGCAATCCTAGAAAAGCACATTGTGTTATCTACCCCTTTACTACATTTCTCAGGCTCTGTCTAAAGACGTTTGGAATTCCTGCCCTAACTTCTTTTATTAGAAGACTATTTCAGAGTGTCACTGCTCTGATTAAAGGTGACTTTTTAACTTACCATAGCCATTTTGTACTCATTTGCTCTTTTAATGATATAGTCCCACAGACTAAATAGGTCAAATTGCCCTCTGTACATTTTTGATGCTGTTTCACAGATTTACGTATCAGAGGACTGTGCCAGCATGAGTATATGCTAATTATCTCATCTACGTTTCTGCCATATTCTATTCTCCACTCTGTGCTCAAACCTTCCAAAACCACTTTTCCACTATTCTGCAGATACAAAATGGATCTATGGGCCTATGACAAGTTTTACAAAGAGATTTAGATTTTAAGGACACAGGCAGACATGCAGGGCAACCTTTGAAGTGCTGACTCTTATAAAACATATTGAAATCACTGGACATTAGAAACAAACAGGACTAAAACTAGCCAGTTTCATCTTCTAAGTGTCTATTTCTAATCTAATTCATTAATAACTAGCTAACTAGAGCTTTGACTAACGAATTCAGTAGACCTACCTTTATTTATATCTCCTAGGAGTTTCTCCCTGTACCTAATCCTAGAGTTTAGACTGCAGCAGCAACTAAAAACATTGATAACTGAATAAGATAAGAGAGAAAGGAACAACTGTGGGAATTCTTTCCAATGATGATGAATGCCATATTATCAAAGTTTGCTACACAAATTGTGCTCTGCATATTGGTTGAGATAGTTCTAGAAAAGGACATAAACCAATGTCAAATTAAATTGGAAGTCTTTTGTGAAGTGTAAAGATTTTATAGAGCATTTAAAATTTAATTTTGAATTTAGTTAGTACCAATGCTGCTCGAAGGTTTAGCTGATCCAAGCCATTTCTATGGGACCTTTTCATAATATTGAAGTTGTCTGGAGAATAAACATAGATTTTTTAAAAAAATTTCCCCCATAACAGTGTCATCAGTACATAGAAAGTTGGCACTCTGGCACTAATTAGCCAGTCAGAATTTTGAAAAAAAACCAGTCAAGCTTGACTTATGCTTACATAACTTCTAAAAATTAGTCTTTTTAATGTAACTTGAGTTTTTGCTATATTATCTGTGAAAAGATTTCTATGTATAAGTACTATGAATAATTTAAAACATATCAAAATGGATCTGGAAGAGATTAAATCTTTCACAACTGACCAGGGAAGAAAGTACAATGGTTGCAGATTCAAGTTAGCTATCAAAGACAAAATATATGAAAGATAAAAATCCAATTACTTTTTAGGCATTAACTGATCTCAAGATAGAACTGATAGAACTTCTATCTCTATTTCTCTAGGAGGGTGTACAATATATTCCTTTTTATATCCGTCAAAGGGAGTAGGAGCATGGAAAGTATCTGGCATAATACCAATGCAGAGAAGCCACAGTCTGGTCTATGGAAAACAGGTCAGCAGTAAGTTAAAAGCTACTCTTGGAGAGATCTTCCTTATGAAATCTCTATCTACATTCTAAGACAAAGCACTTCTTTTTCAGTCTGTCAATGGATGGGCACTTAAGGCCCACCCTCTGCTTACTAAGACTATAAAAGTTATTCGGGATACTGTCATTCTTAATTTTTTTTTCACTATGTTTCACGTTGATAGCCTGTCTTTGCCAATCTCCATATGGCATTAGAGCACACATGTAATATTGATACTGAATTAATCTGAAAACTTCTGTTGCCTTCCGAGGGCACTGTATCTGTCTTAGAGTGAAGAAATATGCTACACTGAATTGTTTTCAGTTTTGTTTCAATTGTATGCCTCATTCCCAAGTATGACGGAATGTATCATACATCCAGTCCAAAGGTATCTGCATTTCATTTTGAAGGCCTTTTTGATGTACACATATGGGAAAGATACCCAGAGGAAAGAGCATTATGAAAAGCCAAAGAACTGGAACAGAAATACAAGATGTAACTATGATACCTATACCAGTGGCACAATCACCTACCATTTGTTATCATGTTGTGCCTTGCACTAATCAGCAATTCATAAAGCTGAGAAAAAAGAAAAAAGAATGAAACTAACATTTATGACTGACAGGAATTACTGAAATTAGTGGACTTATTTGGGGCACTTGGTGCGTACTACAGCTTTTTTCCATTGAAAAACAGAAACCTGAGAAGTTTTGTTTGTTGGCAGTATCATCTAATGTTGTAAACTACCTCATGTGCAACTGAATTGGAAGTAAAGTAAGTAACGGCTCAAACCCTTCAAGTTGTCTTGAAGATATCCAAATCATTCATGAAAAGAGTAACAATCTATTGAATACACTGACAACTGGCTCCACAAAACTGAAAGCGAACTAAAATAATAGGTATTACCTTACCTGGGTAACCTTCTCTGTTACATTGTGCGTTCGGTCTTTCACCTTAGGTGCAATAATTGCTTTCTCCGAAGAAGGAGGAGATGAAGATTTTTTTTCACTTTTGATATCTGAAAAGTTCAGTGTGAGTTGAGGAATTTTGTTGATTGTACTGTATTTGTTGAGATTTGAATCCGATGTGGATCCCAACAGACTTGACTTGATATGATTAAAAGGCCCTGAAAAATCAGAACAAATACTTAGTACTTGACAAATGCAGAAAAATAAGTTATCATTTAAGTGGGATATGTTTAAAGTGTAGTTAAAACCTATTTTTCACTATACTACTTGTTAATAATAAAAATTATCTAAATGTTAAAAATAACTCTATTGCTAATAAGAATCATATTTAGTATTGGATGTAAAAATGAAATTTCCTTTACATATAGCCCCCAATATTTTTTATGAAGTCAATGGATTGCAGAGTACATAATGCATCCATCCTTACTTGTTTTCATGTTACTGGGTATGCTGGTATGCTCCATGATAATTCTGGCTGAATATAAAGACTATATTCTCATTTGTTTATAAAAGTAGAAATAGGGCACACAATTATATAAGCGTGTCTGGACTGAGCAAAGGCTTTATTATCACATCTGTGCTGTTGCTCATGCTTACATGATAGTTAGTTCAAAAACGCCTTTTATTTTGACTGGAAAATTGAGTAGACCCCTGCTCTACCCCTGTTGACTCATCAAGTAACTCCATACTTAATCAATGGAAATATTAACCTAGCATTGTCCTAAACGCCTTTAATTTTGAATTATGACAAACTCACAAAATTTATTTCTTCAATTGGCATTACCAACAGAATATTGAAAACAATAGGTATACCCATATGTAGAATATTAATAGCGTATTTAATATACACTTAAACATTTTATACTAGTTTAGTGCATCATGATAGATAAAAAATACGGAATTTGTATACTTCATGAGGTACATATCCATTATAATTATTCTTTTCAATATTGGACAGAGTTCTTTGTACAACCAAAAATATTCATAGTAAGGAAAATTTGCTTTTGAGAATAATACTGGAAAAAAGAATTATAAAGATGTTTAGACAGCAAGAGCTAGATCCAGTTATGGATTTAAGAAAAAATCCAGGTCTTGCAGTCAGTAACAATGTATCTGAAGTGTGGGATCGAAGAGTATTTCTCAGATCTACATGAGAACCTTATGGCATCCTAATCCTAATTATGGGCAACAATGTGATGTTTTTTCTTCTACTTTTTTTTGAGTTTTTTTTGTCTTCCTGGGAGGGAAACAAGAATGGATGCTATGATTCAGGACAGGATTAGGCCTATGAGGTAAATTGCAGAGTCAACAGCAGAACAACTGGATTGTATTTGCAATGCATGAACAAGTGAAATTCAAAGTAACCAGCTGCCTGGAGATACCAGTGGAGAAATGCTTCAGGCAGTGCTGAATTCTACCTTTTTTTTTTTTTTTTTTTTTTGTAAAATTCTTTCAGTGAGGGCTGGTCTTCCCTCACACCTGGCTTAGAATACTTGCTGAAGAACCAGACTTTTAATTTGCTTTCTTAGCTTAAAAGAATTTATACACATGCTTTCTACCTCCTAAATTCACACTAAATAGATGTTAATCTGGGCCCGAGATAGAAATCCTCTACTACTCCATTTCAAATTGTGCCACTGTGCAGAAAGGAATTCAAGATGACAAAGGAGGGCACGATGCTCTAAACTAACAGTTCAGGTGCTCCCCTGGGAGAGATGAATCTGGTGGTTCTGCTCTCAAGACTTCCTGTATTTTGTCCAATGACCATTTGATGTGAGAGAAACAGAAATTTGTGGGTGAGTGCTCTAACCACTAAACTACAAAACCAGTCCTTTTTCTCCTTAGACAAATGAACCTAGTATATTCTTTGTGGGACATCTTCCCTGGAAAAAGGAAGAAAACACTACCTTTCTCCCACAAGGAGAGCCTGGTACTGAAGACACTACCAAGGAACTGGAATATTGTGCTTGATCACCTTTTAGCCCAGGTAGGACCTGAATGTATCTTTAACATCATCTACATGAGTCTATTAAAAAGTGGTCTTCAAAACAAATCAGGGCTCAATCTCCTCACAAATCAGTCAAGTGGCTAATCTGGCTGGCATGTGCTACATATGTATGGTCAGACCGCAGTTTTTCAGCTCTACTTCCCTACATAGTTGTAGTAATTAATAGTTTTTGAATATTGAGTAGGCTTAGACATGAGTGGGGTATCAACTTGCGGCCATTTGTCAGACGAACAAGACTCTTGATACCTAAGGAACTCAAAGGTAAGAGGAAACTAAGGGTTTCCTTAGGAAAAGGTAAGAGGAAACTAAGAGCTTAGGCCAATCCATGATTAGATAGTAGTTAAGACTTTTTTTTTTTTTTTACAGTGACTTTATAAATGCTTAAATTGCATTGAATTTTTGCTTTCTGTGATTTAAATCTTTTATTTCTTCTGTTCCAAAGGGAATTACTCTCTCCTTCACAACCTAGGACTCATGCCCTAGCATGCGATATTCGACTTAAGTTAATTGCACATGACAATAAAACCTTGCTATTTTCATCCACGTTCTTTTGCTTTAGAAAGTGGTGAAAGGTATATATGTACCTGATTGATAATGGTAATTAATTGAAAGACATTACTAGCTTAAGTGAGCTGATACTTGACAGCTAGTGGACCTTTGCTATACTCTCACAGCAGGAAGCAGAAAAAGAGGGCCATAACAAATCACAATCACAATTGACACTAATTGGTACTCTGATTGACAGTTTCAGCAGAGCGGCCAAGAATTGAATAAGCAGGGAGAATGACATGTTTCTGCCTACCCTACAAAGGAGATACTTTAAGGTTAAGTTTGAGCTCCCCATTTTTATGGTAGGATTCCATTGTCCCTGTTTACACAATGCACTGAGAAATGATTTCACTTTCCTGAGCTGTCAATCCGTCATCTTTCACCAGCAGTAAATACATTTATAAAAGTTGTTTTACAGTACAGAGACTACATTTTTTTTCCCCAAGATTTTGCCAACATACACATGAAGCAAATGCATTGAGTCCATGAGTCGCTTTGTAGAATCTAGGTCATGCACTGCATGCAGTTTAGAGAGAAGACTTCACCAGGTACACACATTTTTTGCATCATGCATGAAGTCACAAACCAGTTTTCACACATAGCTACAAATACTGCAATTAAACGGAACACTTTAGTAATTGTTTTCTAGAAATTGAGGAAGTCACTTAAGAATTATCTTCAAATTGCTTCTAAAAGATGTAGCTCAGTGCTGGTGAATAGAAACAATTTTGTAACTGCATTAAATATTATTTAGACATGAAATTGGCAATGAAGTTCATGCATGCACATTTTAATACTACAGGAAGCTTGAAACCATACCCCCTGCCATCCAGGAACGTGAAACTAGTTTTAAGGAGACAAAAGAGGAATAAGTGAAGATACTTCCACAAGGCTCCTGATTACCAATTATTTTATTTTTGAGATAGTTAAGTGAAAACTAAGCACCTTATAACAATAGATTGTTTGTTAGTGGCCCTGCCCAATTATACATCCTTTCACAGGTAAAACTCCTGGTAGATTCAACAGAAGTTTTGCCTGCTTAAGGACAACAGAACTGAATTAAGTAACTTGTTCTATTTCCCTCCCTCCCTTTTTTGCATTAACAGATAATTAAGTTAAATGACAGTTTAACTATGCCTTCACTTTTTCCAAGGATTAGTAGTTAGTGCTTTGAGACAATAGTTAAGGAAATAACTATGTGTTTAACAAATATAATTCAAGTAATGTACCTGGCCCTAGAGAGGTCAGCATGAGAATGTTGCATCTGAACATTTCATACAGCAGGCAAAGTAACATGCCAAAAAGTGTGGCTGTTTGAAACACTGGAAGGTAGAGTCTAGATGTATACTTTACCTTTGACATTGCGACCATTGTCTGGTTTTCAGCATAATAAAAGTGAAGAAAAAGAGAGAAAAAAAGACAACTAAAATCTACATCAGAAAAAGCAGAAAACATTTCTTCAAAATATGTATGTGCTTTGAACTGAAGTATTTTTCCACCTCCTTGATTATATTATGTAGACTTTCAGTCACGATGAAGTCACTTTGACAATTGAGAGATAATCTGTAAAACTGGAGTAGATCAGGAGCTAGTAGGACTGGCTCTACCTAATTTGCCTTAACAGTAACATGATAAAATCGTTTCTCCGCAAGTCCGGTGCTGGGTTGGAGGTCAAAAGTGCTGACCCACGAAGTGGTAATTGGTCACACGTAATTAAGTGAGGCTGAGGCACCCACGGCTGCGGGCGGTGGCGCAGGCTGGCTGGCTGCGTGGGGTGTGGGGCTGCGCAGGTGGCCCTGCACAGACACCCCCAGGCCCCATGCCTGCCCACGACTCACGGGAGGAAAAGTTTTTACCATGGCAGCGAGCTGAGCACTGCCTTTCCAGAGAAACACTGAGGAGAAAGATATACCTTAAAACTTTCTTCAGCTCTTAGGTGCCTTTCTGCAAGGCAAGAGTGGCAAAGCTGTCTGTCCTCACAGGCACACCCAGCCCTGAATCCACTCATGAGATCAAACCACTTTAGGGAGAATATTATTCTTATTAATTATTATTCTAAAGAAGCCACACAGGTGGATAGGTAGATGCCACCCCTCTTCATGGGCATACAACATGACCCACAGGCTGCCCTCCCTTTGCGTCGTGTCCCTGCCTGGCTGTGGCTGCTCGGGGGGCTGCGGGCGAGGGCCCCGGGGACCGGCAGGGAGCAAGGGGCCAGGCGCAGGATGCGGCCCTGCTCTGCGTGCTGCTGGCCACCGTGACCAGCTTACCAGCTTTCAAAGGTGCCTTGGGCTCAAGCTGATATTCACCTGCGGTTGTCCCCTGCTGACAGGCCACCTTTGAGGGCTGAGGTGGCTGTGCCCCCGCCTGCCCCAGCGGCAGCCCTGTCCCTGCAGAGGCCTGCTTCAGCCCCGCTCTGGAGAAGGGCTGTGGCCTTCTCTCGTGAGGGGAATCGGAAGTGACATTGGGACGTGTCTTTGGCGTCATGTCACGCCTGCTGCCTCTCTGGCTTTTCCTCTTCTTCCGGAGGACTGGGGAGCATGGGACATGGAGCTGGGCCCTCTGGACCATGGGTGTGGGAGAGTGTTTAGTTCCTCTCAGCCTGACGCCTTTCTGTGCCAGGCGTCTGTAGCGGTAATGCAGATTTTGTAGGCTGAGTTAGGCTCAAAAGCCTGCTGTTTTTTCAGAAGACTGCAGGGCTGTTACTGAGGTCACTTTCTGAAGACAACAAAATTCCCAAAGTGTCCCTGTGAACCTGTACCCGCCTGCAAAATCTGGATAGCTGGTGTTTCAGGTGAGAAGGGCTTGGCTGGAGTTTGGGCAGTGGGTGGAAGACACAGTTCCTGCCCTGCTGCTTTTGCTGTCACATAGGCAAATTTAGAATGGAATTCAACTGAGTACACTCAAATGAATTTAAAGTCCTAAATTGTTATTTTTACTGTAATACCTTTCAGCATATAATGGCCACAGCTATGATAGTTTTGAAGTGATAGGTAACTAGGCTACGTAAATTAATTTAACACATGAAATAATTTATTTTCAGTTGCCTTACCTTCCAAAAAAAAAAAACCTGACTACGGGTGAATTACTGTAGTTAGTATTGAGCTAAATAATGCTGTTCTCTTCTGTCAGAATTCCGTTATGCTGATTCAATTAATATTATTTGAACTAGAAGAGGTGGAAAAAAATTAAATCTTGATCATTAATTGCATTTTCAGACAGAGTAGTAGTTTTCAGTGGATTCAGGAAAATTCAGAATTATTAGGATCAATAAACAAAATAAAAACGGAATGAGAAATATATTAAACCTTATGCTTCCTTGGGTAATATATTTTGCAACATCAAAGGCCCCATAATTTAGCCTGTTGGGACTGTAGTTTACTTTTACTTATTGTACGTTACTTTTATTTAGGGCTTTACGTTCTCCACTACAGTATCTACAGCTTCTGCTCAGAATCTGTGAGTCCAGAGAAGATGGTTTAGGCTGAATCCTGGTTGCCTAACTTGCATGGATGATTTTACGGCAACAATAGGGTTTTATGTCTCTCTGTTGAGTAAGGCAAGCAGGACTTGCTGGCTAAATTTAAACATCTTTTCAGCATAAGGTGCCAAATTCTAATATGCTTGGAAGCAGATGGCATCAAGGATGGTTACTAATTCTAATGCAATTCTGAGAGCCATCCTCTGTTCTGCTGTACTTTTTTAGAATGCATATGTGTGACCTAAACTTAGGGCCAGATTCTCTACTCTTTTCTAGCTTATGCAGAGTGAAATCAGAGTGGCAGTGTTTTATCTATTCACAATGTAAATGATCACACCACATGAGAGGCCGTAAGAATTCACATGGACTCCTAATAGTAAAATTTATTTTTCTTAGTATTTAACATTTGAAAAATATTATTCAGTGAAATGGAGCTAGAAATTTTTGCTCCACCACACAGCAAGTATTAAATTATGTGGCAATTTCTGCATGAGCTTTGTACCACTATAGCCAAAGAAACTGAATATTCAAACCGATTTTTACACATTTTTATCATATAACTATATGAAGAATGACCAATTGGGAAGTGTTTTAATGAGAATAAATTCTGAAAATAGAAATTGACAAAACAGATATCTTTAAATGTGTTTTATTTGGAAGGTTAGTTTAAATATCTGGGGAAGTTGAAACCAAAATGAAGATTATGCAATGGTCCAAAAGACATGACAAGGTTCAACCTTGGAGATTTTTGCCTGTACATCCTGATCTTGAAATCTTGGCTTGAATGTGAACATGAAATATAGCAAGATGGTATGGTTTTGGATGGATTTAATTGAATTTTCAGGTTCATTTGAACTGAAAAAAATCAGAGTCCAAAAGAAACAGAAATGCGAAAACAAGTATTTACCCACTATATTTAATACAGGAAGAGTAACTGGAAGGAATAATTAGTTCTGCTATTCTAGGAGTTAATCTGGGTGGCAGAGGAGCATTTAGACTTGTATTTTAGGATATATACAGAAGCAAAGAGCCCTTGATGTGGACCTTCCAAAAGGCAGGAGAACTTAAAAGAATTTTATACTTGCGGTCAATGAATACGAGAAGAACAGGCAATCACTGAAAATGAAAATTCATTTTCTTGCTAATTTATGAACCTGTGCAGTCTTCCATGACATATGTTTTTGAAATCTTAAAATATTCAACATACATTCCTTGTCATCTGTCTTGAATAAAAAGTATGCAATTCAAGTCATTAGACCGTCAGTTGCTGCAAAAGCATTGTATATCTGTCACTGTTCTGTTAAAGCCAGTTTCAAAGGTGCCTCTCCATTCACAGGGCTTTCAAACCTCTGTTTGCTAAGCTGTTTCCCAAGTTTCTCAAACTCCCTGTCTCCAGCAAGAACTCATGGACCATACTCCATGACTTAGCGTAATTAGGAGAGACATTAGAAAAAGAAAACAGAGAAAACATCTTTGTAAATTTTGCTGGCTGCAAGAATGTACTAACACAAAGAGAAAAGCACACTTACAAGAATTTTACACTAAGCATTTCACCATTTCACTAAGTATTTCACTCAGCATTACACAAAGCATTTCAAGGGAGTTGCTGAGGATATTTTCTCCAGTGTGAGAGAAAAAGTATGTCTCGGTGTTGGATCAGTGAATATACAATGTACGCATTACAGATTTAAGAAAAATAAACCCATCAATCTCTGAAGTAGGATTTCATACAGTCAAAGACAATCTAATATATGTGAGTATGGGACAGAACTGTGCATGCAATTTTAACTAGATCACCTGATTTTTTTCCCCCCAGATACCAATATTAGCTTTAGGAATGTTGGGCCCAGTTTTGCTATATCCCTATACAGAGGGCAGATAGTACTCTAAGAGCAACCCCATGATTTCATTGGTCGGCTTAGACATGAAAAGCAGTATTTAGTGTAAATAAGCCTGGTGTATTTGGGCCCTTAATATTTTTAGTGTCCCTTTGAATGCATACTGCTGATTATGTTTAGTTTTACTTATAAAGTGATGATAATTACTATGAAAAATGGCAATAATTCCTTTCTTAGTACATCAGACAATACTGATTGACTTTCTACCATACCTTCGCTTGCATGACGGTCCCTAAAAATGTTCTTGGGATGGACGTTAAAGCCTTCTATGTCATGTACTGAAGATGCTCTCCGTATACTACATATACTTTCCTTTGATCTGGAATGGGTTAGTGGATTGCTTGTCTGTATCATGTCAGGGTAAAGTCTGTCCCATTGCTGTTTAGGTGATGAATGGTCAAGAGGTCCTGATATATTAACCAAAGGTGAACATTTACTGGGTTGAATCAGTGCTTTTGTATCATCCACTTCTGAAGGACTACAGCTTTCTTTTGTAGGTGATTTAAAGTGCTTCATAGCCACTGAGTCATCACTGTGCTTAGATGAATCGACTATCACTGCATCAGGGTCTTCCTGTGGTAAGGACTGCTTTCTGTACGTTAGAAGTCTCAATCCAGGTAACCGGAACCCAAAAAGTCTGCCTACATGTAAATACATACAAAAGAAGAACGTATTAGTTTCTTGTCATGAAAATCTGCTTTTTTCACACACAGTCAGTCCATAATAATAACAACTATAAATGATTGACATATTCCTAATAAATTACAATGCTCAGCAATGGAATGTGTAGATATGGAAATATTATATAGCTATAAGTTTGTTATAGTGATGGTGTTAAAGGATTTCATACTTCAGTCAGACCTAAGTTATTGAGCTCAGAACAGGGATAGCAGCATTGATTCTACAGTCTGTTTTAAAAGAGATAAGATTATCTGTTCTGATGGTCCTTTCTAAATTAAAAATCTATGCATCTATAAAAGACTGCTAGAACATGTCAAACTACTTTTCTTGGTGGCTGTTATCCTGAAATAGGTATTTGTGGATTCTATTATTAGTGGAACTCCATATGCTTAAAAGTGTACTGCTGATTTATTGACTTAGTGGCCACAAATTAAAGAAGATACCAGTGCTAATCCTCCAGGAAAGAAAAATAAGTTGTGTATCAGTTTTGCCACAATCCTGTCCAATACTTACATTTTAAGATCAAATTAAGCACTTACTTTGAATGAATTTAAAATGAAAAGTAAAGGAACACGCAGGAAGAAAAAACAGCGACACAGCTCTCAAGCCTCAGTTGCACCTATACAATGCAATTATCTTTTGTCCATTTGCATGGATGTGGTCTTTGCTGGGCTTTGTATATTGAATGGTAGGGTAGGCTATTCTGAGTGTGTGGGAAACTAACAGCTTTGTGTAATGGTAAGAAATAACAGTAGCTGAGAGGAAGTGTAAAATATAGTGCAAATAAAGAAAATATAGGGGAAGAACTCTAGAATCTACACACTGTCCCTCTAAATAAACCAAACCCAGATAGCAAATATATTAAGGTATTGTGTAATACAACTCACAGATGGAGGCACAGGGACTTCTGATGTAGAGAAAACATAGTAAACGGTGAAAAAGAAATGCTAAAAAAATTTAACAAAATAAAATTAAATAATTGAAATGATCAGTTGTCATTGCATAAATGGTCTGACTTATCTAATAGCTCCTTGTCACTCATCACTTTGCTACATGAGTGTTTTCTACAGTGAATCAATAGCAAAATGATTTCTCAGAGGACATCTCGAAATGTCTTGTTACTCCCTGTTACTGGGATAAGAAATTCTGTTTGGGATAAGATTTCTTTTTTTTTTTTTCAGTCAATTTTAATCACCAGCATTTGTAGCTAGCTAACGTTCATTAATATTTAACACTGAAATTTATCATCCCATACTGAAATATAAGAAAAAAAAAAAAGTTTTGAAATAGTCTTTCATTGATACCTATGCCCAACAGTAAGTGTTGAGCAATTGATGGCACAGCTTAATGTTTTAAAATGAATGTCCTATATATTTAGTATTGAATTTATCTTGAATTCTATATGAATGAAAGTGAGAGCGCCCTCCTTTTCTTAAAGGAAAACCTGTGTGAGAGCTAAAGTTGCTATACTAGACAATACCACAGGTCTGTCTAGCATACTTTTGGACCTCTGATATTTTCCAGTAGCGGTCACATGGAGAAGGAGTTTAAGAACCACTACATTGTCTTATTTCACCCAGTAAATTTACTGAGTTTCTGGCTATCCGCAGTTCAGAAACTTTCTGAGCCAGAGATTGTGTTCAAACCACAAACTGAATGTTTGGTGAACCTTTCTTCCATGAATTTGTTTCAGTGCTTTTGAAACACAGTTGTACTTTGATCTGCAAAGCATCCTATAGGAAACGGTTCCATAATTTTAGCATACCTTTGTGAAAAAGTACTTCTCCTCACTTGCTATAAACCTTGCCTTGGGGAAGGAGCTATTTCTTATGATATGAAAAATAGCTAATAATTGCTGCCTTTTTATAGTCTCAGTAATGTTTATAGTTTTTCATACATTGTCACATTCCTCTTTGTATACCTCTTTTCCAAGCTGAAGAATGCTAGTGTAACTGTGTTGTGTACCTCTGATCAACCTTCTCACCCTTCTCAGTTCCTTTTAATTTCTAATGTAATCATTTTTGACAGTGGGCTGAGCTACTCCCAGACTCAGGGATTGATGCAGTGACAGAATCATTTTTTGTTTTGATCCTAGTTCCTTTCCTTATAATTCCTAATATTTGGTTACCTTTTTGAGTTATCCTCCTAGCCCGTGCTAATTTAAAATATTTTCACAACAGCTGAGAGATTTCTTTCTTGGTTGGTAACATAATTTACTCTCCATTATTATGTCTGTAAAAAAATTTGTTTGCTGTTTTATCACTTTGCCACTCTATCATAGGATATGTCTGTAAATCTCATATCATATTCTGAATAATTTTGTGACATCTGCAAACATCCTCACCTCGCTGTTTGCACCTTTTTTATCTGAGTAATTGAAAATGTATTAAATAATAAAGAACCTGTGAGACTCTACAGATAACATCTCAGTATTTAGAAGTCTGGCCATTTATTTCCACCCTTTTTTCCCTACTTTAAAATATAAATCCAGCTTCCTTTTTTTTTCCTTGATAATTTCTGAAAAATCTTGTTGAATTCCAAGTATTTAGCACTGAATCTATTACTCTAATGCATATATGCATACAACAGTACAGTAGACAGAAATCTCTATTACATAAAACCAGATTCGTGCATGTTTTAAACAACAGCTAGAGGTGCCAATTTTCAATCTGCACAGTGATATTCAGCAGGGTGCACCTTGGGAACATACATATTTCTTCTAACATACTAAGTATAGTTGAACAAATTGCTTACAGTTGAAATTAGTGAAGTACATAAAAAATATTTTATTATTTTTAAATGCACATAGAATTGAGTTGTAAAGCAGTTTATAAATGAATTTTGAAAGCTTACTGCATCAAAAGTGAAACAAATACTGTAATTCTTTTGTCATCAAGCACATTGAACTTAAAAATACCATTCATAAGGTTTTCTGGCATTAGACACTCTTAAAGGCTTTTTGCTGGCATTCTATTTTAGTCATATTCATGGTGGCGCAGATGGTCTTTTCTGCTTCACCAAGTTAATATGACCATGTTATACTGCATTACTGATTTAGCTGTCTAACTACAGTTCAGCTGGAAGGAATACTCAGTGAGAATTTTGCTCCTTGCTAGGACTCTTAGGCATGAAATAGAAAACTTAAATGAGTAGCCTTTTGCTATTCTTCTATAAACTGTAATAAATGGTCTCAAAGTTTAAATCCCTATTTCTTGCTTTTTAATTTGAATATTCTTTAGAGGAGGAGTATTGTTATTCTTCTTCATTGCATAGATAATGAGCTAAATGCTGTGGTGGACATTCAGCTCTCTCCTGCAGTACTGCAGCTAAAGCTATCAGGGGGCCCATTCAGAATTTGTCTAGTTTACATTACACTTCCTTGCTAAGCTCAGTAATAATACAATTTGTCATGAAGCAAAATTCATGGCCCCAGGCCCACTGTCCCAGTATAGACTAACAGGGTCAGTGGAAGCTTTCCTGGCATACTGTTTATGGGGTAAAGTCTTTTGTTTGAAAGTGGACAACCCCTGCTTTGTGTAGGTATGATGTCAGAGCAGATTCATCTTGGCTTACGATACTAAAACATTTTTGAGATGCAAATAGCTGTTTACTATAAATATACAGATAATGTTACATTAAAATCCTTATGTTTTATTGAAGACTGGATTGCCAAGTTCTTCTTAATGCTGAGTCAGAGATTTGTTTAATTGTGGCTTGCTAAGAGCAATTGAGAAAAGCAGTTGAGTCTGAGTCACAATTCCAGGCTTACATTCCACCTCCTCCTTGCAAACCTTGCTTCACTGAATAAGTAATTTGCAAATGAGTTAATCTGTTGTTTGCATTTATTCTCTGTGCCATCTCAGCTAACTGTTAGAGTTTCTAAATAGTAGAACTCAGTCCAAAAATATACTGCAGATAAGAAAGGACACTTCTAAACTGTTTGCAGGTGTAGTTATCTCCAAAGTCCCAAATTCAAATCAACTTTTCTTGCCTTCTGAAAGCCTTTTTTAATTCTGTCTCATATTTTGGGAGATCAAAAGAGAAGATTTTTAGAATTCATAGAAATAAAATGTTTTGGTTAATAGTTTTGTAAGAAAGTGTAGGAAAAAAGCCTATCTTCATAAGAAAAATTAATAGCCTTGCTTTTCTGTAAGTATTGAAATGGGAAATGTTGACATAAATGGAAAATTGCAATTCTTAAACACTAAATACCATCATATAGAATTTTGTGGCGGGGGAAAAAAAAAAAAGAAGAATGAAAATTGGTTCCAAAAATACCTTATTAACAGTTACAATCATGGTTGCAAATTTCCTGCCCCATCAATACAAATTTCATTTTGAAAATGGGGTATCTGAATAAGGATTTCTTTAGTAATCCAATACACTTGCGTGGCAAGTAATTCCCCTATCTGTTCTATGCAAGCATTCTGTAACAAGGAAAGGAAATGATATTTGGCCTGAATATTGCCTTGCTACAGTGAAGGTACTCCTCAAACTTCTAGTCATGAAGAGGTATACTTGCATACTAGACACAGTGGCAAAGTCAGAGAAACACCTACAACTGAGAGAGCTTCACGTTCACTACAATTTCTTTAGTGGTTTTAGGATTACTGGTAGATGCTATGTGCTACCCCAAAGTCTGTTTAACCCATGTCTATGCACATGGGATTCGTGGTTTCCTATCCTGAGCACTGCAGAAGGGTAGCCTTAAGAGACAGCAGCGGGGAGGACATAATGGCTCCCCAAAGAATTGCTCAGCCAGTTTTTGTAGCATCTCTAGTAGCATTGTTACTTTCATGTCGATGCAGAGAAGTAGTTATCCAGAAACCAGTATCTGAAGCTGCTTCCAGATAAGTCAACCAAAGGGAAAAGAAGAGGTAGCTGGTCTCAGGCTCCCTAGCTGGGAGCTAGATTCAGTCTAGAAGACTCTCAACCTTCTCTAGATTTAGACTTTCC